AGATAGATGATTTCCGATGGATTGACAGCCAGCTCAAAATGAGCAAGAGAAAGTTATTCCGGGGCGTATATCCAGCGATGTGTGGGCAATGCCGATTGACCACAACACGCATGATGAGTTTCCCCACAGAAAATACAGCACGAGAATAAGCAAGAGGAACCCACCTAAAAATGAGTAATGACACCCAGTGGCGATTTTCAAAGTAAACAAATCATTTTAACAGATGGTGGCGACGGTAATGATACGGGAGGTAGCGGTGGAGTTTATTGTACTTGTGGCGATTGTGGTAATAATGTCGTGTAGCTGTGGTGCTGGTGGTTGTGATTAGCGGTGGTAGTGGTATTGTTAGAATACGAATAATTGTGGTTGCAGTGATGGTGGTTTATTAAAGTTTGGGTTGTGCATTTGCTGTTAGTAGCGATTGGCAGGGGTGGTTGTGAAAGTGGCGTTCGTGCAAGTGGTGGCGACTGCAGTGGTAGCGAAGGCAGTTGTGATAGGAGCAAAAAGGGTTATCGATTGTAGGGTTGTAGTGTTGCTGCTGGTGATAGTGGTAGAGACGGTGTTTGGGGGGGGGGGGGTCACGGTCGCAGAAGGGCCCCCACACTCAAACCACATCACTCACTCCTCGGTGCGTTCCCCGTCCGGGTCGATGGCGGCCGAGGGTCCCGTGCCGCCGGCTATGGGCTGCAGGGAGCCGGCCACGTCGATCACGCTGTCGCCGAGCAGGGCCAAACGCTCGAGGTTACGGTTGCTTCTCAAAGAGCGCAGCACCTCGGCAGCCCCATCCACGTGCGATTGCAGAAGCGCGGTCACGGAACAGCACCCACCAGCACCACCACCGACGGCGGTGCTGCTGCTGCTGTTGTTGTTGTTTGTGTTGTTGCTGATGGTGTTGGCCCCAGCATTGCCTCCGATACTTCCACCGTCACCATCGCCGCCGACGCCGCCACCTCCACCATCCCAGTCCCAGGATGAGCTCTCTAAGCCACCGCGGGCCAAGTGCTCAAAGGACAGCGAGAATGCGCGGACGAACGACCCGCAGCGCCCCGACAAGAAGGTGGCGCCGCTAAGCGCATCATCACCACCACCACCGCCGCCGATAGCACCTCCACTAACACCACCACCAGCACTAACAACACTTGTAGCACCACCACCTCCACTCACACCGCCGCCACCAGCAGCAACTGCCCCGACCCGCAGCCTCAGCGCGGGCCACAGCGACGGCTGGAAGAGGCAGGCCCGCCAGCGGGAGCACACGGAGGAGGCGGCGAGGCGGTCCCGCGGCGGCAGGAAGGAGAGGACGTGGACGATAATCTCGCAGGGGAGCGCGGAGGCGTCCACCCGATGGCCGCACGGAGCCAGCGCCATCGCCATGGGCGGCCCCGCGCCCCCGTAAACAAGCGGCACGGCCACCACGGAGCGCCCTTTGACCCCGGCCGACTGGGACAAACCATCGCGCCGCGACGCGCGGGGGGTGTGGTGATGGGGAAACTGGAGAGATTGGCGAATTACTCGGTCAATCTGCTGCTGGGGTTGCCGCTGGCAGTGGCGCTAAAGCGCAAATAGGCGTACATTCAAGACGGTCCGTGTTTCAGAATTCGTTTGGCGTTTAAAAGGAACACTGTATTATAGGCGACATTTTGGACAATGGTCATTATTCGGTCAATGGATGTGTTATTATAAAGGGCCGTTGCCCAAGATAGATAGATATTTTCCTTTCAAGGCCACACTGCTATTTGTTTTGCTTGTTAAATAATCTAACAATGTCTCCTTTAACAACAACAAAAAGTAGAAATTTCACTAAAAGTCTGAATTAAACAACCGATCGGGCCCAGGGCCCCCTGCTGGAGGTGCGATTGACTTCACCGCTAAATCGTTCGTAGCGGGATTGTCATTGTATAGCAACGGGCTGTACCCCCCCTTCCCCCCTACCGTGTGGGGCGAGGTGGTATCGCCCGTCAGGGTCACGCGAGGACGCGGCGCCCCGGAACGCGAATGCGGGCCCCGCGTGTGGCGCAGCACGAATTGCGATGAAACGACAATAACCACCTCAACAACAATCACCTCCGCAACAACGGTGATCATCGCAACCACAACAGTGGCATGTTAATGCAGGGGTCACATGTATTGACAACCCGTCAATCCACTGCTGGATGAAGGCCTCCCGAACCAATATTGGTCATGATGATTGTTTGACCATACTTCACCACCATGGTCACTGCGGGTTGGTGAAGCGGTGCACAGTACCGGTTGGGATATCGCTCGCCGCTTTTGTTGTCCAGGAGCGGGACTCGAACTCTTGATGGACCTTTTATCAGCGCAGTGGGCTATTAATCACTTACGCCCCACCATCAATAAGCGCAGTGTTGAACCATTAGTGTTGGTGTGTGCGCCCAGTCAGGCCCCTGCATTGAATACGGTACTTAAAATTTAGCCGATTAATGTGTCTGGTCCGTACTGGACCACGCCATGAGAATGCGGAATTCCCATCAGCCACAATGGGGATGAGCGTTGCCCCATTGCCACATTTGAGCCAAGAGATGCTGCCAACTCGAGGATCGTCGACCGAAATATCTAGGATTGGTGGGGCATAGCTCGGCTCGCTATGGCGTAGACTCGACCCGTGAGTATGATTCCTGGCCGTGGTCAACGTCAGTGGCTAAGTGTGACATCTGAACCGGTCCAGGGCTTGCTCACCAACCCGCACCGACCATTGTGCGGGGAAGTGGGTGCACAAACCCCGTGACCGACAGGGCATGGGGGGAGGCTTCCATCCAGCAGTGGATTGAAAATCGTCGCTTATGAAAATAAAAAAAACATTCTCGAATTCCCAGAAAAATGCACAAAACCTTCCAGCCATACAGACATGGAACCGTGGGGAACAAATCGGCAGTGATTGGTAATAATTTAGTGCACACGTGCAGTATTATGGACATACAGTCTACAATGAGTACTGCAGCCACGAGCCTCGCCCCACCCCCCACCCCGGTGGCTTCCGCGACGAAGCGCTGCCCTGCGCTCGTCCAATCGGCTACAAGGATCGAGCGCACGCGCCGCGCGGGCAGCCAATGAGGAGGCGAGCCGAGGGCAGCTCGCGTTAAGGAGGACTCGGCGCGTGCACGGGCCCCCACGTGGCCCTGCAGGGAGACCAGAAGTCCACGTGCTTGTTTGCCCATGAGATAGAATTCTCACCGTGAACATGTCATGAGAGCTTTGTAGTCGAGGCTGGGATGTGCTTTGTTCATGTTACCTCTTTTTTTAACCTTTTTAAACCCACTTAAAATACATGGCCAGTTTTTTTTCTTTTCAATGAAAAAACTCATTAAGCTGATATTGGGTATGCTTATGTTGTATTGAATACGACAATTTATGTCATTCCTTAGATAACTGTAAATTGTGTAATTTGTCCAATAAATTATCGCCGAAACACTGCATTTAAACACTAGCCAGGATCAATGTATTGTTAAGTTGTACACCGACCTGCTGTAGCTATAGGCGTTGCATAGGAAGCGTTGCCTTGAGTCCAAGACTACTGTGCGACTCATCTGCTTCAAAAAATGCTGATGCCGTGGGAATTCAGCTCACTTTTCTTAATGACTGCACAGCATATGCAAGAGTGAACCACAGCACTATTTACGGCGTGATAATTGAGCACGCAGGTACTGCAGTATTATACGGTATCATGATCCAGACGTATAATTTCAAAGCTGTGGTTGTAAATCCCATACATCTTTGGCATCGTGATGCCAGCAACGACGCTACGTAGATAATCAAAGAAGTGCACAGTAATTTACACCGAAAATCTTTCATTCCCATGCTCTTAATACTGCTAAGAAATGCCACTGCTACACGGTGAGCTGTTAATTGACCGTTAAACAAACATTTGCCATGCATTGAACCCTCGTGTCCGTGGTCGTGGTATAGCTTGGGTGGTGCCAAGAGCCACAATGTAAACTCAAGTCTTTCATCGTGGTCCCAGTCTTTAAACTCAACCCCTCTCAAATAAAGACATCCGTTAAAATATGTGCACAAAATATGTTGGAATCCATTAAACCAAAGGATTTTCCAGACCAATGCTATCCAGAATGTGTTCACACAAGCAAACTCTGGACCGGTTTCGACCTTTAGGATCTCATCAGCATCGGCTAATTTAACCATGATTCCATCTCAGCCTCCACGGACTCCCCTCCAAACCTGCACTTATACTAATTTTACCACAAAGCAGTGGCCACTGTCATTAGCCCCGGCGATCTTTCTCATTAATGCAAACGAATTCCCAGAATCACTATTGACAGAGGCGGCTTAGCTTGGCTGTGTGCGTAGGAATAATTACCATGAGCACATTCACATCTCAGTGGGGTTTAAACCCAGGCACTGGGCTCAGGGTTAATTAAGAGATGGAAAGATCAATGGGTTTCCAAAATAGCAAATTTAGAAGCGATAACACACAAAAGCCAACAGCGGCGGAAGAAAGTAATCGTAGGTTGCAACTTTCAAGTTTAATTATTATCGGACGTGGGTCGGCTCAGCATATCATCTCTTCAGGGTCGATAAAACAGTCACCACATTGTGAACAATCAACATGGGCCACACTAAGGAAATAGCTCAGTACATGGTCTCGTCATGCGAAAGTGGAATATCCCAGTGTCTGAACCGGCAACAGAATGAGCAACGCTAATTTAATCATTCATACTTTAGTATTATTATGATAATGGAGAGGTAGCGCGTTGTGCTATGAACAATACCATCAGAGTTCGATTCCCGATCACGGCTAACATCAGTTGGGAGTGACATCAGAACCGATCCTTGCACCCCCACTTCACGATCCAGAGTGGTGAAGTATGGTCAACTCCATGAGCGACGTGGCGTGGGGGAGTCTTTAATTCAGCAGTGGATTAACAAAGGTCTGTAATATACATTTTAAAATATACATAACATTTATCAAACGCTATGATTCCTATCCACGTGTGTGCGAGGATTCAAATCCTCCTTAAGACACAAGCAGTGCTCGGAGTAACTCCGCCCGATGCAACTCGCTCTGCTCCACTCCGCTCTGCTCTCTTCGGCCGAGCAGGCGTGGGACTCCACTCGGCCGAGCTCCTCCATCCTCCTCATCCTCCTCGTTCTCCTCCATCCTCCTTGCTCCCTCCCCAGACCCCTTCGCTCGACTGAGGTCCTCCTGTCGCCCGGTTCTTCTGTGCGCATCTCTGCAGCCCGTGGTGTCAAGTCAGGATGGGCGACATCGGAAAGCTGGTGATGAAGTGGCATGACAGCTTTGGGAAAGCAACGGATTTCGACTCGTGGGGCCAGCTGGTGGAGGCGGTGGACGAGTACATGATGTGAGTGCGGTGATGCTGTCCTGGTTGCGTGGATCTCGCTGGTGCCTGATGTCTATACACACACACACTGGGATGAGGTGTAGATGGATGTAGCCGCGTGTTAGTGTGAGATGGGGGGATTGGTGTGTGTGTGTGAGTTGTAGGGTGGCGAGTTCATTCATTTGTCATGATTACAATGATGGCAATGATACGAAGTCAACATCATTATCATCATCTCCAGTACTGCACACATATTTGTGAAAATGTTTTACTTGTATAATCGCCTCTGATGGAACATGTCGTGTGCAGGGGTCTTTTGAGTTCAGTACAAGGAGCATAAATAGCCACAAAACTTAAGATATTTGTCATGAAAGGAAAATGATATAACAGGCGACGTTTTAAGGAATGGCCCTTCTTCATAGGACACGCATAGAGAGGTCAAGGAGATAGAGTGGAGAAGATTTGGAGTCTGCACTTTACATCATTGTGCCCGATAAGAATAAAACATTCAAATGATTCCTGATGAACACTTGTACATTTCTATTTGAATAGTTACCTATTAAATTATAAGGTGACACTGCGTTGGTAGCGGTGCACAAGAACGAATAACACAAGTAATAATAACACCAAGAACAACATTAACTCCACACATTCAACATAAAAACTAAACACATACGTAGCATAAGTAATTAACTTTAAGTGTGGTTACTAGGGATTGTCTGTAGCAATGTCAACAACAGTTAAAAGTAATTTACAGAAATCATTTGCATCCATGATCAGATGTAATCAGTCAGTTACAAAGAGACTCATGAGAATACATATAGTCAACAGTTAATCATCATGGTCACAATCAAATCAAGTCATCCACAGAAATCAATGTCATAATCACACTTTGAAATCAACAGCAATGTGAATCAATATTAACAGCAATCATGATAGTTACTAATAATAGGCAATAATCATGAACCAAATCATCAACAGAAGTCTTCAACATCATCAACAATCAGTAATCAGAAATCGAAAGCAGTCATCGACCTCATCATTATCATCAGCAATAGCAATCATCAACAGCATCATTGTGCCTATCATATTCACCATCCACTGGAATACATCGTGAACAGAAGTGTTTGTTTCTTAATAAAGGAACTGACCAAATACTGTACCACAATACAAAAGATTCGTGTCCTGAGACTCGTTGAGGCTCTTCATAGAAAAATACAGAATTATCCTGTCCACCAGGAGTCACCATCACAAAATACAGAATCATCCTGTCCACTAGGAATCACCATCACAAAGTACATAATCATCCGGTCCACCAGGAGTCACCATCACAAATACAGAATACAGAATAATCCTGTACACCAGGAGTCACCATCACAAAATAACTCAACAATCAGTAATCATTCACACTTGAAGAATATTCCTGCATCACAGGCCACTTTTAAAGTTGAGTGATAAACCGTGATTTACATATACAAATACAACTTCCTGGATAACTACATTTTGACTGAACATAACTCATTTCAAAGAACTCCCACCTGTTTAATTAAAATTCGAATTCCATTCTCATCATCGTCGTCATTATCATCATCATCATCAGTGGTGATGTGTTGTACATTGTGTTGTTGATACTCTACTCGATAGGAGGTTTGTGGTGCAGCGACTGTAGGGACTGATGCCATTGCTTCCCGTGTTGACTGTCTCGTGCTTGCAGCCTTGCCAGGCAGCTTCTCAAAGAGGCACAGTCACCGCCAAACTGCTCGGGATTCACTGAAGACCAGAAGGTATGAGGATTCCCAACTGCAGGATGGGTTTTCAGCATCTGGATTCCTACGTTCTGTCTCATTTGTATTGATTGGTCACACGTGTTCAGTCTTGTTCTTTGTGAGGTGTATTGTCCGTCTTGCATATTGTCTCATTTATATTGTGCGCTTCATTTTGTATAAATCAAGCTGTCTCCACAAGTTTGAAGGCCTACTGCATGAGCACGTAATGTGTGTGCGTGTGATCGATCATACTTTACCAGACAGATCATTGGGTGGTGGTGAAGGCAGGGAATATAGACGTGGGAACTTAGAAGAACCATTTAACAAATTGATTTAGCTGTACTGCCCTCTGCTGACCAGCACGCAGTGCAACTCTGCAACCGCCTATCACAACCTGTTCATGCACGGCGGTCACTCAGTCAAGAGCTGTCCAACCTCAAGCCTGCTGAGCTTAAGATCGGGTGCATTCTGGGTAATTTGGTCACTGGTTGTAGTTGCAAGCTTTCTGTGGATACAATAACTATACACAGATGCCTGTGTCGGGTTCCGCCCTTTCATTGGTTTCAGAACAGTTTCCGATTGCTGTAAGATGCCCCTGATCGGAGCCGTCCCTAGGGTACGGCGAATCTGGGCGACCGCCCCGGGCCCCGTAATTTGGGGGACCCCGCGTTTCGACGTCACGGTGCCAGAAGTAATACTTCAGCTTTTGTTTGAAGTCGTCGGGGGGCCCACACGGTGGGATATGCACCGGGCCCCTTCTCCCCCCTATAGGACGGCCCTGCCCCCGATGCAAGGGGTAGATTTATTTATTAATCACTCGAGTCCCACAGACCTTGAGGGCAGTGTACTCTTATGCCCCCACGTTTATGTATCCCGCTTTCACCAACCTGCACTGACCAGCGTCAGTGCAAGTTGATCAAATATCCCCCACGACGGCATAGGGAGGCCCTCATCCAGCAGTGGATTGACCGAAGGCTGATGCGTACGTGTACACGACACTCGTATGCGACAGGCCAAACAGCTGGGTTCGCAACACCAAAGGGCCGAGGTCCCTGCGGAAAAGCGTAACACCAACGAAGGGGGCTTAAAACTGAATTATTTCCTGGACAGACCACCGACAGAGCTCAGCAGGCCTCCAAAACAAGCTAATCATGCTCGTTGCTTGACAGAGGCACCACCCATTAATAAACATGGGTGTGCACAAAGCGGAGTTGGCCGCTCTGCAAGGGGCACTTGGGGGCCAGTGACTGATGGCATAAAACACATGGGGTGACGTTGTTCGTGCTTAAAGTGTACTGCTTTCCATGAGAAACGAAGGGGAACAATTGGCTTGAGGTTTCTATAACACTGTTAACTGTTTATATTCTCTGTGCCAATGGTGATATATTGTTGAACAGGGCATCTAGTCTGTTGTAGTCTTTGTATGAAGTTTTTTTTACGATACACGACTTACATGGGAGACTTGCATCACAAGGCTTGCATTGTATGTTGGGTGTTATCTACTCTTATGTGTTTTCTCCGGGTGCTCTGGTTTCATCCCACTTAATGAACACTTATTAATACTATTAAATTGCCTCTAAAGGTTAAAACAAGACCCTCTTGCAAAAGAGCCTTGAGACTCGACGAGACTTTCCTAGGTAAGTACAGTATTTGACAATTATTATGATTCTTTTTCATCTTGAATCGCGTTTTTACATTTTCTTCAGAAAATCCTCGGGAAGATTGCCGCCTGCCTGGAGGTGAGGAGTCAGTCTCTGCAGGTACTGTACTCTTACCCTGTACTTCTGTACTCTACCCTGTACTTCTGTACTCTACCCTGTACTTCTGTACTCTACCCTGTACTTCTGTACCCTACCCTGTACTTCTGTACTCTACCCTGTACTTCTGTACTCTACCCTGTACTTCTGTACCCTACCCTGTACTTCTGTACCCTACCCTGTACTTCTGTACTCTACCCTGTACTTCTGTGTTCTACCCTGTACTTCTGTACTCTACCCTGTACTTCTGTACCCTACCCTGTACTTCTGTACTCTACCCTGTACTTCTGTACCCTACCCTGTACTTCTGTACCCTACCCTGTACTTATGTACTCTACCCTGTACTTCTGTACTCTACACTGTACTTCTGTGATCTACCCTGTACTTCTGTACTCTACCCTGTACTTCTGTGTTCTACCCTGTACTTCTGTACCCTACCCTGTACTTCTGTACCCTGTACTTCTGTACTCTACCCTGTACTTCTGTACCCTATCCTGTACTTCTGTACTCTACCCTGTACTTCTGTACTCTACCCTGTACTTCTGTACCCTACCCTGTACTTCTGTACCCTACCCTGTACTTCTGTACCCTACCCTGTACTTCTGTACTCTACCCTGTACTTCTGTACTCTACCCTGTACTTCTGTGTTCTACTCTGTACTTCTGTACTCTACCCTGTACGTCTGTACCCTACCCTGTACTTCTGTACCCTACCCTGTACTTCTGTACCCTACCCTGTACTTCTGTACTCTACCCTGTAATTATTTCCCCTACCCTGTACTTCTGTACCCTACCCTGTACTTCTGTACCCTACCCTGTACTTCTGTACTCTACCCTGTACTTCTTTCCCCTACCCTGTACTTCTGTATCCTACCCTGTACTTCTGTACTCTACCCTGTACTTCTGTACTCTACCCTGTACTGTATACGAGTCCATAATCCTGCAGTAAGTTTATGACGACACAGACCATTCTGTTTCTACTTAAAGTGACTCGCTGCATTGTATTCTTTGAGCTGAAAATGTAAACCGTGAAAAAGAATATATTTACGATGTGTAAACGACTATGATTTAATGTAAAATACATGTATTATTATGTTGTTTATTATCTCAAGATACTTTTCTTTGGTATACAAATAACTTCATATATATTGTTTTACTCTTTTAGACCACACAATCAAATGAAGAATTTCCACTTGAAGATTTGAAGCAACTGGAACCAGGCGAGTGCTGTTTGTTCCCCTTTTGGCCATGGTGCATTTTATTCTCACAGGATACTACATTAATGATATTTATCCAGCAATGGATTGGTCGTAGCTGATAGTCATATACGGAACTATTTACATCCCTTTTACCCACTGCTGAAGCCTCCCCAACTTGTGTCAGATGGGGGTTGTTTGCCATTCTTCACCACACTGGGTAGTGCCGGTAGTGAATGGGGAGACCAGGACCAGTTCATATATCACTAACAACTGGCGTTATCCCTGGCTGGGAAGCAGACTCAGATCTCCGTGTTCATAGTGCAATGCACTCGTCACTGTTTCCCTGTATCTAAGTCATAACTGTAAATGACTGTGTTCATAGCAACACAGTCATGCCACTGTGAAATGAATGACCCTCCTTTCAAGTTACATTCATTACTTTCTTTAATCTCTTTTCACAGTAATAAAGAACATTCTCACGTACAACAAAGAATTCCCATTTGATGTTCAGCCCCTGCCCCAAAGGTAACGAGCCATGCCGTTCTGGGCGCGTCACCTCGACGTCCCACACCTGCTGAGGATGCGTCACAATTTCACGGCTCGACAAAAATAATTTGCGGGGACATGCTCGCTAGCCGACCGAGCGACTGAACGGAGGGGGTCACGAGCCGGCCGGCCGACTGGCTGGCATGCCCTGCGCCGCATCCGTGTTGTGACGGTGCCCCGTCGCCGGCGTGCTCCGGATGGTCGCTGCCTTTTGTGTGCGAGGGGACCCCGGGGAGCACGGTGCCCACACCCAATCCTGCGCGGGCCGGGCGAGGCCGTCTGGCCACCGTTTTTGTTTGCAGCACTTCCTGTTTTCAGCCTGCTCCTTTCCTGTGATGTTTTCCCCTCTGTGTCTGGCTCGTAATTTATGCGGGTGCCCTGCAGTGGGCTGCGAAGCCACGCTGGTGAGCGAGAGTAAGTTGTGGTGAAACGCAACCTTCCGGCAGTGTGGCAGCAGTTGTCCCTGCAGTGGGGGCATTTGCTCGATACGGCCTACAACACTTTTATTACTATTATCATTTATTTGCACTGCTGAATGAAGGCCTCTACACAATGTCGGTGGTTGGGGTTTAGTATGATAATACTTCACCACGCTGGTCAGTGCGGGTCGTTAAAAGTGCACAGGGCCCAGGTCCGGTTCAGAAATCATTTGCTACTGGCGTCAGCCTTGGCCAGAAATTAAACTTAGGTCGATGGGCTCATAGCGCATTGACCGAATCGGTGCATCACAAATGAGCACCCTAATGCACGATATACAATGCTTTTTTGATTCATATGCTGTCTAAACAAACAGTGGGGGTGGCGGTGTGCGCATTGCGGAGATAGACAGTGGGGGGCCGCTGTGCAGAGGTACGAAATAGACAACGGTGGCGATACGATGCAAATTAACACGCTTCGTAGAAAAGGGACAGTCAAACGAGTCATCTCTGTTTATGACGGAGATGATGAGACATTTATTTTTGTTTGTGTTTGTACAACACTGCTAATACAATCACTATTTTTTAGAATTCAGGTTTACGTAAGAGTTTGAAATAGTTTCATGGGTGTGTTTGACGCAGATTTAAAAAAAAAAAAATTGTGCGTATGTATATTCTTTGTTTTTTTTCGGTAAAGTCACATAGGTAAAAAATAAATAAAATAAATGAAAAATAAATTAAATCACGACGTTTCGGGCGCAACACAAGCGTCCTTCTTCACAAACGCTTAAGCGTTTGTGCTTTCGCTGCGTTGTCCCCACCTGAAGAAGGACGCTTGTGTTGCGCCCGAAACGTCGTGATATAATTTCGTTTTCATTTATTTTATTTATTTTTTACCTACGTGACTTTACCGAAAAAAAACAAAGAGTATGAATCCTTGCAGTTACGAAAGCTTCAAATCTAGAATGTGCGTATGTATGTTGAACTTCTTTCACATCGTACGTAGCCAATCGTGATAATCGGAGGTGCGGATGCAAGCTCATGAAGAAAATCAATTTCTCATGCAATGCAGCATCTCGCTGATTTGAATGTGTTCACCATGTGGAGTGGCCTAGCACGGTTGGCATCGGCCCTGCTGCAAGGAATTAAATTGGGCCCCTTGTCTAGTTTATAATTCCCCTTCCTTCCCTATTAGTAGTCCGGTAACCGGGGCCTTCTTCTGGTAACGGGGCCCTCTTCTAGTACCTGAGCGTTCTTCTGGTACCCTGGGCCCTCTTCTGGTACCTGGGCCCTCTTCTGGCACCTGGACCCTCTTCTAGTACCTGGGCCCTCTTCTGGTACCTGGGCCCTCTTCTTGTACCTGGGCCCTCTTCTGCTTCCTGGACCCTCTTCTGGTACCTGGGCCCTCTTCTGGCACCTGGGCCCTCTTCTGGCCTGTCGTGGGCCCCGGTGCAAGTGCACCACCTGCACATCCCATATCTGCGCCATCGGTCGTGTGCACACGCCCATCACCACTGAGCTATGGGGTGGGCTCCAGCAGGTGTAGTGAATGCAATGGCTCTCACTCCACCCTGCAGGAGGCTCCTGGCCCCTGGTGAGGAACAGAGTCTCGATGTGGGCGGGGAGGAGGAGGAGGACGGCGCGGTGGGGGCAGCTGGCGGCGTCACCTCCCACGTCTTCAACGCCCGTCCGTCCGGTAATGGCACGTGCGACGATGGGCTTGTTGAGGCATAACAAGAGCGCTTCCGCATCATCATCATCATTGTCTTTGTCATCATCACTCGTCTTCTGTTGCTCATCATTGATAGTAGATCAGGAGTGGAGAACCTTTTCCTCACCGAGGGTCGAGTCGAACGTTGGCATGTCGTTGGCGGCCCACGCTTTACGACACCACTCTACCGATTATCGGTTCCATTACTCGACGAATTAGATAACGCGAAAACGGTTATAATAAAAACCATCACCTCTTATTTTCGACCTGTGCTGCTGGATGGGATGTGATGGGCCAGACTTGGTGACGTCATCGGCACCGTCAGCCGCGTCATGCTGGACATGCCGGGGGGGACGGGGCGGCAGGATGCGGGGGCTGCTGCTCTTTTGAAAGCATCCTGAGAAATTGAGCACGGAAAAATGTTTGGATTGCTCTGGAGAGTGCCCCTAACACTGATGCCCTCCGCTCCACAGGCACGCTGCTGCCCCGCCTGCCCTCTGAGCCCGGCATGACCCTGCTGACGATCCGCATCGACAAGATCGGCCTGAAGGACGCAGGCCAGTGCATCGACCCGTACATCACCGTGAGCGTCAAAGGTACCGGCGTCAAGCACGGTAGCTCCCTCACTTCACTTTGGCCGTACCAGTTGGCATGGGTTGGTGAAGGGGAAAATAAAGAAACGGTTCGGATATCACTCGCCACTGATGTTCGCCATGGTGAGGAATTAAACTCGGGTTACAGGGATGATAGCGCAGTGCGCCAACTACTGCGCCACCGCTCCCCACACGTAAACTGTATTACAAAATGCAAAGTAATTTCCTCGTCAAATGAGCATCAAAAGGGGTGCTCATCGCCTGTTGACGGGGCCAGTGATGGAAATTTTTCATTCATAAAGCAGGGGAGAATCTACCTGTAGAACAACCACTGTTGATTACTCCACAACGTGGTAAATATTTTAATGACCTCAGAGTGATGATGGGCTGAGTCAACCCCCAAACATTTTTTTCAACTCGCAACTTTCCGATTGCGAGCCGCTCGCTCTACCACTGAGCCACCTTGGCGGGGTTTAGATGCAATACACATTCACCTAATATACGTGAATTATTACCCATGCAATTATATGCAAGCATCTTCATCTTGAGTTCAAGAACTGATATTAATGGGTGAATCATTGTGTCGTTGCACGCACTCCGAATGTATACTTGTTTAAGGCATTAGCAGAGGAAGGCTTCACTCGGCAGCAAGTATAAACTGTTTGGCTATGACATCACGCATTCTTCAACGAATGTGTGAAGGGGCGTTCTACATTCCTTGTCGCGTTTGTATATTTTGCTTGGAAACGCGAAGCTCCGTCTGAAGGAAGCCGGCGTACTTTAATACGTTTTCTTATTCCGCCCGGCGTTGCCCGCGCGTTTGTTTATTTCTCTAAAACTCTTCCAGTACGATGTCACGCGCGCCTGTGAGAAGTGTGAGCTGCACGACGGCTGAACGTCTTTCATATCCACAAGCTCTCCGTGCGAACACCTCGCAGATTCATCCGCGACCGTACACCTCATGCTGCCTGTGCGTGCAAGCCCCGTAGCGTCGGGGAGCTGAAGGGGAGCAGAGTCCACCTCTGTTGAGGGCTTAGCCCCCCTTATAAATGATCGGTCAAGTCAAGAAATAGAATCCACTGCTGGATTATATATTTTTTTCCCGCCTGAGGACGACCGCTTGTGTCGCAATCGAAACGCCGTGATTTATTTTATTGTGTTTCTACCTACGTGACTTTTGACGAAAGAACCAAAGAGTATGGATTCCTGCAGTCACGAGAGCTTCAAATCAAGAAAGAAATAGAACGTTTAACACAGGTGACGTTTTTTTTCTCTCTTCCTTTAAAGTTCTCCAGTTCGGCGAGCACCCAGAGTCACGAATAAAACGTTCCCGTGGCCGTCCACGTCGGCTCCAACCATTGTGATGATGGCTCACACAAAAAAAACAACAAAGTTCCCCCCCCCTATAATAGCCTTCAGCAAACTCATGTGGCAAGTGCCGTTAGCAAGCACCTATGAAGGCCGGCACGGCACACGTAGGGGGGCGAGGTGGTCAGTGCCACGCACACACTGACTCATCTGCCGTGGTGTCCTGTTCATGATCAAGCTTCGCGAGACGATAGACACACTGCCTGCGATAGTTGGTGGAGGCCGGACAAAACGATTGTCGTGCACACATGGTGGGGTGAGGGTTACGGCAGAACGCTAGGCAGAAACAACCGGGTCGTACCCGTTACGCGTTCCGTTTTAAGTGTCTCACAACGTTTGTGTAACGTTGGCCGCGTCGTGCTCCCTCCTGAGTTATGGACGCCCCCTCCTTTTAAGGGGTAAATATCTTTTAGCTCGTCGACCTATTGCGCTTTTCAGCGCAATGTTATCCTTTAGAACAGTGGTTCTCAACCTCTTTTTTTATGACTACTTTAGTTTATTTTAGCTACTGTACGGTTGAATGTTATTTCAACTAAGCAGTCGCTTGCCTGACCCAACATGGTTCTGAGAAATAAATGTACGAATAATGAACGGCAATATTGTAACCAATTGCCCATTTTGTGAGGTATTCTAACTAGCTGCTAGTAACTGCAAGCGAAATAAAAAAAATGTCAGCGGACGCCCTGCGCGCGTGACGTCATTTGGTTACGCGCGTGACGTCATTTGTTTACGCTCGCTGGTTACTCTTGGAAACCCCAATTGTTTACGATCAATGAGTTTAGAAAGGTCTTTTATATAGTTCTAGGTTACCATACGGATTAGAATGCTATCGTCGTCAATTAATATTGGCACATTTGTACGCGACTATTCCCCAACGACTCGCGGATGATATAGTTTTACACATTTATAAATCACCGCACATAGCCCCTGGTACATTGCCACACACCCCCAGGGGGCCGCGTACCCCCGGTTGAGAACCACTGCTTGAGAAGGTCACGCCGCGGGCCCGGGACGTGCTCGCCGACCGCGCCCGGCCTCTCTCGCCCGCAGACGCGAGCGCCGTGGAGCTGAGCCCCGTACAGGACACGCCGGTGGCCTCCAGGAAGGAGGACACCTTCGTCCACTTTGGCATGGACGTCGAGATCCAGAAGCACGTGGAGCAGCTGCCCAAGGGTGACGCTCGCACCGCTTCGCAAGGGGTTCAACGTCGAACGGCCAGCGGGGTGGAAATTCCACATTCCTATGGTGGGGGGGGGAGGGGGCGAGTCTCTCCGTTGAACAACCACTGTTGACTTTCCCACAAAGTGGTACGAATTTTATCGACCTCGGAGGGATGATGAGTCAACCCCCAGCCAGGATTTTAACTCGTAACCTTCAGATTGCGAGCCGCTCGCTCTACCAATGAGGCACCCGGCAGGTTAAGGTGCAATAATGAATAATTTAGCATATTTGGTATTCCCGCCATTCGTATAGTGCAAGGCCATCACCAAGGCGTTTCTGGGGTCATAGACACAGTCTGCAGTAGTCTGGCAGTAAGAGCCATGTGACTTTGTGTATTGCCCAGAGGACGTCCGCCACGGAGACGGAGCGATGGAGTCGCCACCTCGTGTGCACGCGCTGGGTGGATTGTCACGTCACATGACAGCGAGATAGCGACGGCTTGGGCAGGCCTTCATCCAGCAGTGGATTGACAATGGCTGATGATTATAGGTCCTTGAACAACACAAAACTAAGTTGGTGTTGTGATCAGCAAAGAAGATGCTCGTAATGTCGTCACCTGCGCCAACGTGACCACATAAAATGAAACGTAAACAAAGAGCTGAATCTTGGGCGGTGGCGAGATCTTATCTCCCTTGCCTGGCAAACAGGAATCGTGGGTTTGATCCCGGACTCTGGCGATGCCTGTTTTTTAATTCGAGTTTGTATTCTCTCTTCCCGTGGTGGTCACGTGGCTTTTTCTCTGGAACCCCCGGGTTTGCCCTCCCCATTTAGAAATACGCGTTTAGATCATTTGGCTGCTGCTAAAAATGCCCACGTATGATGATAATATCAGCCACTTCGATGAGCTATCATCATCAAGTGTGGCCAGGTCACCTCTGAATAAGAGCCCACACCTCAGTGGGCATTGCCTGGTTGTAAAAAATAAATAAAAAGTTTCGTTTTAACCAGTTTCTTTCAATCTCTCCACCGACATTCTTCTGTGTGACAGGTGCTGCCATCTTCTTTGAGTTCAAGCACTACAAACCAAAGAAGCACTTCACCAGCACCAAGTGCTTCGCCTTCATGGAAATGGACGAGATCAAGCCGGGCCCTGTCGTCATTGAGCTGTGAGTTCCATGTTGTGCATCAGTGTGTTGTGTGTCATTATGTCGTGTTGTGTATTCGTGTGTGTGTAAGGTATGTTTTATGTTGTGTATGAACCACTCTGCACAGAAACAGGCTGCGTATTTATTTCATCAGTGATAGGCAGAGGAACAAAGGAAGGCATTGAACCTGGACTTGAACATGGGTAGGGAGTCGACAGCACAGATGGCTGGGGGAAGGGAGTTCCTGAGTGTGGGGGCAGCAGTAGAGTGCGCACATTTTAATGTTGTTTGCGATGTTTGTCTCCAGGTACAAAAAACCAACGGACTTCAAGAGGAGGAAGCTCACCCTCCTGACCAAGAAGCCTCTCTACCTTCACCTGCACCAAACGCTGCACAAGGACTGACGCGCCACGGCCGTGCCCCTCGCTGCCGCAACCCTGAACGCGGAGTGCCGGTACCCATGGTCCTCCCTGTCCCGGCGAGCGATTTGCTTCCCGGTGCCGCGTGCGTGCCGGCGCGGTGGCGAGGTGCTGGGGCCCCCGAGCCTGACACCCCGTCCCCTTCTGAGAACGCCGGCCGCCGATCTTTAACTTGGCACTGAAAAAAGATTAAAAGTCTGCCTTTGTTGGCGGCGGCAGCAGCACAAAGTGGCAGTGCCAGATGGCGCCTTAAAAACAAGCACCAGTACTGAGTGCATACAGTAAAACCTTGGATTGCGAGCATAATTCGTTCCGGAAACGTGTTTTGTAATCCAAAGCACTCGTATATCAAAGCAGTCGTATATCAGTTGTGATCACGTGACGCTCGGCAGTACAAAGCGTATACGCACTACTCGTATTGCAAGACCCTCGCTCGTTTATCAAATTAATATTTATTTAAATTTTTTGCTCGTCTTGCAAAACACTCGCAGACCAAGTTACTCGCAATCCAAGGTTTTACTGTACCTATGTTTCCACTGCAAAACCGAGCGGTGCTGGGGCCGTGCCGAACCGGCCGGGCGCCAGGGGCTCAGGAGGCGTGAGGTTGTTGTTCACCGCAGAGCCCGCGCAAAAACACTCGCAGACCAAGTTACTCGCAATCCAAGGTTTTACTGTACCTATGTTTCCACTGCAAAACCGAGCGGTGCTGGGGCCGTGCCGAACCGGCCGGGCGCCAGGGGCTCAGGAGGCGTGAGGTTGTTGTTCACCGCAGAGCCCGCGCAAAACACTCGCAGACCAAGTTACTCGCAAACCAAGGTTTTACTGTACCTATGTTTCCACTGCAAAACCGAGCGGTGCTGGGGCCGTGCCGAACCGGCCGGGCGCCAGGGGCTCAGGAGGCGTGAGGTTGTTGTTCACCGCAGAGCCCGCGCAAAACACTCGCAGACCAAGTTACTCGCAATCCAAGGTTTTACTGTACCTATGTTTCCACTGCAAAACCGAGCGGTGCTGGGGCCGTGCCGAACCGGCCGGGCGCCAGGGGCTCAGGAGGCGTGAGGTTGTTGTTCACCGCAGAGCCCGCGCAAAACACTCGCAGACCAAGTTACTCGCAAACCAAGGTTTTACTGTACCTATGTTTCCACTGCAAAACCGAGCGGTGCTGGGGCCGTGCCGAACCGGCCGGGCGCCAGGGGCTCAGGAGGCGTGAGGTTGTTGTTCACCGCAGAGCCCGCGGTGTGCTGCCGCTCGCGTCGTCGCACCACGCAATGGACGAGGATGAGGGAAACGATTAACCCCAACCCCTGGGCCTGTTCGGCCCCCCAGCAGGATTCAAATGTCCTGCGAGGCCGGCGAATCGCAGTTTGGTTCCGGCTCGGCTCGGCAAATAGCGAGTGAAAAACCACCCATACCGTGGTAGCCCCACGCTGGCACGGCTAGGATTGTGCCGGTGGCAGGGCAGATTTGGGCCCTGGCGCTTGATTCAAGAACTTAAGTAATTCCGGAGCAAAGCCTTTTACCACAGCACTGCGTCGCTATTTATGTACAGTTGCATTGCAGCTATGTGATACTGTGATGCAAGAGTGTGTTTCTTACCTTTTATACATTGTGTGTTATTAACAATGCAAATGCACAATAGCCAATCACTAAACGCACTCTGGCGTAGCACTAGAGTGTCCGTGTGTGAGCGACTGTAACTATAGTGGCTTGTAGTCATTGAGTGCCATTTACCGTTTATATTCCCGCTCCGTGTGTCCGAGTTGCCAACTTCTCACGTGGAGGTGGGAGAAAGTTAGGCAACGTGGTATTTATCCAATTCGCTATTTATTATTTGCAAAACAAATTGTTTAACAAATAATATTGAATGTCAAGCTAATTTAAGTCGCCTAATAATTTCGCTTTCTCCCTTTCGGCGTCTCGCGAGACGGCAGTAGCAATCCTCCGCCAGGTACAGCGCAAGGACGCAGCGCTCGCACGCCTGCACGGTGGCGGAGTGTGCGTGCACGCAGGGTGTGTGTGCAAGCCAGGGTGTGTGTGCAAGCCAGGGTGTGTGTGCAAGCCAGGGTGTGTGTGCAAGCCAGGGTGTGTGTGCAAGCCAGGGTGTGTGTGCACGCCAGGGTGTGTGTGCAAGCCAGGGTGTGTGTGCAAGCCAGGGTGTGTGTACGCCACACACCCTGGCTTGCACACACCAAGTAGGGGGTACAGCATCTGCCAGTCATCTCAATCAGCCCAACCCATGGCACCGAGGCCTATCCCCAGACCTGTCAGCGAGCCTTCGACACTTCACGTGGCCTCAAAGTGCACCTGGCCTGGCACAGGCGCCGTGGTGACGTCACCGTCATGGGCGGGTTTTGGTATGGGTGTGTGTGCACACGGGCTATGTGTGTGTGCGTGCGGGGCATGTGTGTACACACAGGCTATGTATGTGCACTACAGAACACCCAATGAGACGGCCAGGACAGTGCTCACTGCCTGCGGTTCCTGCTTGCGTAGTTGTCACGCCGTCTCAGGCCGACGTCGTGCGCTCCTCTGGCTGGTGGCTGTTCTCTCTGCGCTGCAGACAACCCAGGGGTTTCCGTACCGCGCCGTGTAGGGTGAGAGCTGCGTGGCACGACTCCCTCGGCCATTCAAGGCGGCAGTAGGTGACGATGGCTATTCCGTACTGATGAGTCCTCGCAAGGATGGAAACGGTATGGAGCTGCTTCGTTGTCATGCTTCCGCCGAAAACAAAGCCCAAAACTTTCAGCCCTTTTGAGCACGTGGCTGCCGCAACTTGCGTGCAGAATATTTGGTCAGCATCTTGCCATGCAAAGCATGTTGGGACTTCTCGTCGTGCTGATGGTGCCTCGAACACCTTTTTGTGTTTATTATTATACCATCATCATCACCACCACTTGCAAGATGTCCAGCCAGCGTGGAAGAGTAGGCCAAACACCCTCCTGGATGGGGCTCTCCAGAGCTGCCTCCAGTGGAGGCCGCTCCGCCAGCAGTGGCGTGAGCGCTCCTACAGGGCTGTCCCCGTTATCTCTGATCTACTACTGCTGTTGTTGTTATCAGGAGCGTGGTGTTCACGCTTGTGTCGGAACCTCGGTGACTGGCCCGGGGGTTCCTGTAGGCGCCGTTCCTCCATCCAGGTGCTCCGTGCTCTGTGCGTGGGCTCCGGGCTCCGTGTGTGGGCTCGCCACTAGCAAGGAGGGACGCTCTCGGCGTCTTAACTTCACCAACGGAGACGAGTAAACATTTGCACATTTTATTGCCACTAAAATAGTGTTGCCACTAACCGTAACTGTTTTAACTGTTCTTGTGCAAGTAAAACCATCCTTTCCGGGGCGTGCCATTATAACTTTATTGTGTTATTTTACTCCTTTTTATGGGTGGTGCGTATGGATGTGTAACATTTTTTTTGTTACCTGGAGAGAAAACGAACGCATCCCAGGGGCCAGGTTCCGCGTTTGTGTACGATGGTAGCTCTCCGCTTCCGACGCAAATCGGTGGTTTGTAAAGATTCAGGATCGCGATTCCATTCTACGATCAGTTGCCCGCACGGCCGTGGCAAGTGGCCCGCGGGTCCGTCGCACGCACGAGTGTTCATTCAGTCAGCGATGTTATTGGTGGACCGTGGTCCACGACGGCTGGCAGCCGCTGCTCTCTCAGACCTGGAGGCACCGCGTGAATCCCCGTCACACATGCAACGGCTGTAGACACACATGCAACGGCTGTAGACACACGCCTTTTCGACTGCACGCGTTAGGAGCTGGAAGAATCGATATCAAATCTTGACTTAAAGCTTTCGTGACCGCAGGAATTCATATTCTTCGGTTCTTTCGGTAAAGTCACGTGGATAGGTTCAAGGAAAATAACAAAAACACTACGACGTTTCGATCGCAACACAGGCCGAATGCTTGAACATATCTACCGAAAGACCAAAGAATAATCCATATCAAAATTGATGAATCCGGTGCGCCGCTGCACCCCTCCGTATCGCGAAAGCCTCCGTGCGGGCACGTGGATCCGTGAACCGTGCGCGCTGCAGGCTGTTGGACAAATGCAGTCCGCGTCCACACGGGGGCAGCCTGGCTCAAAGCACGGCAGCGCCGCTCGCGAACCGCGTGCTGTTCACGCACGCGCGCCGTGTGTCCAGCGTGCAGCAACAAACAGCGCGCCGACGGCTGCAGGAGACGAGAGTGTACAACGCGTTTTTAATTGAGCAACGCTACGATTATAGGAGTTTGTGAACAGAGATGATGGTGGGAGGGGATTCCAAAGTGGAGCAGCGCGAGGGAAGAAGCAGAGGGAGAAGTGAGGTGACCGGCAGTGTAGTGAGGGGCTAAGTGGGTGGATGGGTGAGTGGCTTGGTTAGTGGGTGAGTGAGTGGCTTGGCGAGTGGGTTGGTTAGTGGGTTGGTAAGTCGGTAAGTGAGTGGGTTGGTTAGTGGTATGGTGAGTCGATTGGTGAGTGGGTTGGTAAGTGGGTTGGTAAGTGGGTAAGTGAGTGGGTAAGTGAGTGAGTTGGTGAGTGGGTTGGTTAGTGGGTTGGTAAGTGGGTTTGTAGGTGAGTGGGTTGGTGAGTGGGTTGGTGAATGGGTTGGTGAGTGGGTTGGTGAGTGGGTTGGTAAGTGGGTTGGTAAGTGGGTAAGTGAGTGGGTAGGTGAGTGGGTTGGTGAGTGGGTTGGTAAGTGGGTTGGTAAGTGGGTAAGTGAGTGGGTAGGTGAGTGGGTAGGTGAGTGGGTTGGTGAGTGGGTAGGTGAGTGAGTGGGTTGGCGAGTGGGTTGGCGAGTGGGTTGGCGAGTGAGTGCGGTATCGTGGCCTGCACTGTGATGGTGGAACAGTATTGATGAGACAGAACAGTCTGAGAGACGTAGCCCTGAACATGGGAGGTGTTCCCACGAGGAATGAGGAAAGGCTGGAATTCGATCGGTGTTCCTGCAGCACGGGTGATAACCGTTCATAAGGACCAGCGATTCAAGCGGCCAGACGGACATCACACGTCAAGTGTTCGATAGTAGTCGCCACGTACGTTTACAGGTTACACCGCGTGAGCTGTGCATTTTAGACGGAATTTCTAAACATCGCGGGGAGTGAAAGTCACAACAGAGGACATCCGTTGCACCAAAGGTGAGAGAGCCATTAGTGCTATTATCTGCCTATGCTAAAGTGGATCATCAGTAACATTGACTTGTAAGTGAAGGGCGCGGCTATTGAACGGCATTCCGTTGTGTTGTTGGGTTTTAATTCCGTCGACTGCATCCGCAACATCCGTGCTGTGATTAAAATAACATTGCCTGCCCGATATGGTCAATATACTCTCATTATCTCTCTCTCTTCACGTGACGACAACGAGTTTTCACGGCACAAGAATGCGTGGCTTTGTACTCTGATGCTGGGGGCCGTGTTGTCAGATT